GTGTATGATTCAACAAGTAGTTAGTACAAGCATATAAGTCGAAGTTTATCCATTCCTTTTACCTCATAAGGATAAAAGCGATATCCGTGGGCCCCTCGATGATTTAGTGATGACACCCCTAAGTGCTTGGCCAAGCCTAGACTGATTTGATTTGTTCAATTAGTCAGTTGTCATAAATCGAAAATCAGGAAACAACAAATGGACAGAGAGAATGATTATAATCCATGTCTCAGTCCATATGATATCTAGAATGGAGGAATATATGATCACTTATCTAATGGACGCGTCATTTGATTTGTTCAGAGTTCGACAGCGGCTTTAAGAGCTACGATTGCTAGTCGGGTTACGAAGTCGTACTTGCAGTAATGGTTTTAGACTTATCCAAGTGGGAGACTGTTAGATTAGATGTCTAAGCCCATAACTATTATTGGTATGTACTTGACCCAAGAGTAGCATGGTCCATTTGGGTTGCATATCATCAGGACAATTTGTTAGGATGGACTCTTGATAGAAGGTTATATATGATTTATTAATATATTATAAGTGCTAATATATTAATATGAAATCATATGGTTTTAATTAGTATTGATCAAGAATTAAGTTGGAATTGATTTAGTGATCAAAAAGAGACTAATTAAATATATGGGGACTCATTATGTTAATTAGTTATATTTATATGTGTTGGGCTTATGATCCATGTTGGACCAAGTTTATGTATGGATCCATAAAGAGTTGGGCCATATGAACCATGGATCATAAAACCCATGGGTATGGGTTTGGGTTTTACCCATGACTCTTAGAATTCAACACATATAAATACATATGTGATGACCTAAAAACCGCGAACCCTAGCGTGTGGGTGCATGTTCTTGGAGTTCATGAAGGTTTTAGAGTGCATTGAGATTCTCACTCAAGTCCTACTTTTATCCTTGATGTGTTGTGATTCCACTTGAGGCTTCCACACTATTGGGGCTAAGCTCTGAAGGCCAAATGCATCGAGACTTCCAGCCATATGAAAAGGTATGTTACACTAACTAGTATCTTGTGTAGAAACACCTTTGTATGTATAATTAGTGAAAACATAGATCCAAGGTATTTAGGATTGCATGAACACCTTAGGAGTGTTAGAATGCTCAAAACCCAACAGAAACATGTTCTAGTACATCTAAAATTGAACATCAAATAGGTTGTCTGTAGATCTCGCTGCTTAATTTAAGCGGACAACAATATCATTGGTCGTCGTCAGCTAAATGGTCCCTTAGGAATACTGTTTAGGAACATAGGGTCAAATGTCTTGTCATTTGTTATATATCCTAAATTTGTCAGTCTTTCGTGCTTAAGTGAACCTCAATACCGACAATTGACCAGATCTATTCATGAAGGAGGAGGTACCGATAAACAGATTAAGGCTGTCTAATAACTTTGATCCCAAACCACTAAGTTATGACCTATCAGTACTACATTGTACTAAATTATACTTTTGGTTTTGATTTTTAGAAATAGATTATCCATTAAAGCATAGTTTTGGCATTGGTAGTTTATAAATATAAAAGCATTTGATTTCTTGCATAAATGTTTTATTTAATTTTGGCTATGTTTTTTAATGATTATCACAAAAAGCAACCATTTTATGACCTCATACATTTGGTAAAAAGAAATAAATTTGATAATTGTCTAGGTTATAAGCAACAAAAGTGGAGATTTAACCCTAATACAAATGAACCATTATTCACAAATTGTACACTAGAATTCGATGTCACACTTATTACATGCTTTATTCAGGTATATATTTATACTTTTTTTATTTTTTATTTTGGTGGTTTGTTTTATTTTAGTGTAGTAATTGTTGTTTTGTGTTTTTATAATGGTAGTTTCGATGTCAAAATGATTATGTGTACGTATATGATTGTGTGTATCTGACTCTGAGTGTATGTTCTATACCTTATAAATGCGTAAAGTTATTTCATATAATTTCTGTATGATATGTAAATATCTACTATATCAAGTTAAAGTTTGAAATTTGTTTGATTGTAATTATTACAATTTGATTTTGATTTTATTTTCTTCATGATTTAACTATTTATTTGTTTGTGTTCGATAAATAGTCATTGCATATTTAGAAAGTTCAAGAAGCGATGTTGTGTAGGTCGGTCTACAAGCAAAAACCATCAGTAGCATTTCATAAATTACCAACTTCACTAACCTCCATTTGTACCAAATATGTGATGAAAAAAGTTTATAAAATGATGAATAGATAGATGAGAAACTCATATCATCATATTTGTAAAAAAATTAAAGGGATGTATCCACGTAATGTTGCAAGTGATAGCAAGGTACTTTAATTTCTTTATTTGTTACAGCATTATTGTTTAATCTTCCTATTAAATTCTTACATTTTTTATATTTTTCTTATTAAAGCATTGTACTTAGAAGACATCATAATGACATCTCATGAATCTCTTTTCCAACATTCAACCTTAGTAACAACAAAAGCAACAATGCCTGTCACCATAGTTGCTTGACCAAAATGGGCAAAATGCAAGTAATAGCAATGTACTATTTTCTTCACTATATTTTACTTTTTCTTCACTGTTGCATTTTTACAACATTATAGATCTATTAATTTTTTTATTAGACATTGTACTTCAAAAAGTCTCCATTTATAGCATTCTACTAAAAAGACTTCCCTACTTGGATATTGTAATAAACGGAAGAAATAAATATAGTTGTGTTTCTAACTTGTAATAATATGTATGTAACTGAAAGTATATTTGAAAATGAACAACTTGATTACCCGAAAAGAAATTCAATGGTATATAAAGAAAATGGCAATATTTATTCAAAATCACATGTTTGGTGCGAACATAAGATTGCATTTTCATATTATTTTCTTAAAATCTACCTAAATATAGCATTTTCTTTCATTTTTTTAAACTATCAAGATATAAATATTGTCTTTCATCTTTTTTTAACTACCTTCGTATAGACTTGTATTTTCATCTTTTTTGAAAATCCATTCAAGTATAGCATTGTACTTTTTTTTACTATCATTAAATATAGCATTATACTATTATTTTTAAAACTGTACATAAATATAACAATGTATTTTCATTTCTTTAGAACTAGCAACTATACCAGATATAGATATAGCACTATACTTTGGTTCTTTGTAAAACCATCAAAATTTAACATTGCATTTTAGTTAAAAGACCGAACACCTCCACCCAAGCATGTTAACCCCCTAATTTCATCATTATATAACCAAAATAATGACATGACACATATTACAGTCGGCAAAACTCATTATACAAGTTAATTTTGGCTTTCAAAAACAACTTCTAAATGCAACGACTTTTTCGTTCAAAAAAATAGATCAAATGTATTTTTTAATTATCTAACCAGTCAAAGATATTAATTTTTTCTTGCAATGCAAAACTCATTATACAAATTAATTGACTCTTTCAAACAACTTGGCAATGAAGCGACCCTCAAAAAATATGATCAAATGCTTTTTTTTATTATTAATTTCAAATTATTTAATATTTAGCTGAACCATTTAAATTTATTTTTTAGTAGATCACAAAAATGGTCCTATGATTTGGTCAAAAAAAAAAAAAACATGGTCAACTTTTCAAAAGTTCATTGTCCATGTGGTTTCAGAAAATTACATCATTAGTCCTTTTCGCAATCGCCAAAAATGGAGCCTTTAAGTATTCAGAATTAACTATTTTACTCTCAAACAAAATCAGTTAAAGTATACAAACTAAATATGTAAATAAGCATATTATGTTTAGGTTTCTTTAGAACCCTATTACAAACCGTAGTATCCCACCTTAACATTACTCACCCATTTTTCAATAGGCACTCTGGGTTATCCACCCTACAGTCTCCACCGCTAGCAAGTAGCGGATACAGGGGGTTTAGTGGCCCCACTTAACATGTTTTTTTACATATATTTTATATTGAAAGTTCATAGTTAAAATTGATTTTCAATTAATGGGCCCATTATAATAGTAATTTTACACTATGGACTCTAGTTACAATAATCTCTGGACTGCTGCTAGCTACCTACCCTCTAGTCATCACTACAGTGAGTCACCGTCAAACACCCCGTAGTATTCCATTTCCTTATCTTCCTCATCATCTTGACACCGCCACCATGTTGCCATTGTAGCGACACTATCTCTTGTTATCGTATGCATGTATTGCCGTCCTCTATTGCAATTGCAACCATTGATGCATGAAATTGTTGTAGGTTTGATCTGATTTTTGCAAGTGCTGGTTATGGGTTTGTTCTTTCCAAAAACTCAACCACAAGTGACTTCCTAATTTATTTTGGCTTTTCCGTTTGTGGTTCTTGAACATATTTTTTGCTTTTCTGTTTGTGGGTTTGATCTTATTTTTATTTGATTTTGTGTTTTGGGATTTGATGAACCTAGAACGAAGATGAAGATGATGTGTATATCACATTCCATGTATGGTTTGATTTTGGATATGATTTTGGAAACTTGGAATGAGCAATAAAGATAAATCAGTGTTTTTACTTTTTATTATATTATGCATCTAGTATTGCATTTGACATTTGTAAATTCCCATCCGTTTTTACTTTCTATTTTGCATCTAATGTTGATGATGTGCATACCATACTCAATGAGTGTTTGTTTTTTCTGTTCTCTGCTTCCCATTGATGGGCATTGAAGGTATGTCTAAGAATATGATCAGATGGAAGGGGAAGGAAGGAGTTTTCTGAACAGGGTTAAATGAAGGGACCAATTGTGCAATTTCTTGAAACCATAAGAGTCAACTTTTCAAAGATTGTAACAAGCCTGCAATTATGATCAAACCACATGGGCCATTTATGTAATTTACTATTAATTTTTAATTTTTATCCGTGAAGTCATTATAAAAAGTCAACACGAGTATGATTATGGTTACAATGTCCAAAATGAGCACAGCATCGATTTTTTCCTCAAGGAATCTCGAGAAATCCGTCGAAGGTGATGCAAATGATTCGTCTTCAATCAGATGAAATCAGTCGTTTACAAGATGAAATCATCCTCCGAATATTAAACAGATTAATCGATTTGAAAACCCTTTGCTTTTGCTATCTGGTTTCCAAACGTTTCTCCTCGATTGTACTTCAAGTCGATGCCATTTCCTTCACTTCTCCTCTCTGGACTCCCGATAAGAACACCATCGGTGATGTTGCCCCAAGTAATCCATTTCCGCCGATCATTTCTTCTTTTTATGGCGAGTCCTTTCTATCTGCTTATAGGTTTTTGATCAAGTTTAAAGGAGTGATAGAACTTCTATCTTCGGGTCTCCGTGCTGTGGATAATCGTTTGTTCAAGTGGAAGGTCAAGTTTGGTAACAGAATCGAATCAGTTATATTTCTGTCCCCGAATTCAATTTTCTATAAGGATGAACTCTATTTTAATGGGAATGGGGATGAAGAAGAACGCAACAAACGTCACATTGCGTTTCAGTGTCTGAAGGATGTGACGGCAAGGCATATGATGCTGTTGCACCTGGTTAAGGATCTGCCATTGTTAGAAGAGGTATCCATTACTGATTCAGAAAGAAGAGGGAGGCTTTCCTTGAAGGGGGAAAAACTCAGTGAGGTGAAAGAATGGGTACGTTCTGCTTCGGAAGCTGTGATGAATCATGTAGAGGTTCCTAATTTCTTGAGTAACTGTTATATTCCGGTTTTGAAGTTGCCAGTTTCAGGGTACGTGATGAAGGGGGTATTTGTTATGGTAATGGAGATGAAAGATCTCGAGAGTGAAAATGATATTCTTATGAACAGTGAAGATGGTGGTTTTGAAGATAAAGAAGAGGCTGCATATACCGAAGCTCTGATGGAGATTATGGAGAAACATAAAGGCATGATGAATACCCTGAGCCTCAACTCACGTAAGCAATGTTCTATATGTTAATCAGTTATTTTCTTCCATAGTTTTTCTTCTTGAATTGACAAATCAATTAGGTTGCATATTAAAACTCTTTGCAATTGAATATTTTTTAAGTTATGTCTAATCGATCAAACATGCACATTCAGATGAAATTTCATCTGCCCCAAGCCTTAAAATTAAGATTTGAAATTAATCATTAGATTTAGGTGGTGTTTCATTTGTGTAGCATGAATCATTAGAGACTGTTGGAGTATGCTTTAGTTCAATTATTGAGGCAAATTGAAAATTAATGTGGAGAAATTTCGTTTTGACTATTACCAGATATATGAAAAAACAATATGATTCAATTCTCAATCATATTTTGTTGTCCTTGATAACAACTGTTAGTAAGATACATTGTATGTAGGTGATTTACATTATTTGATTGAGAGTTGTGCAAGCCAATCTGTAGGTGATTACTTGTGTATTTTTGTTAACGACATGATCAAATACACATATATATTAAGATTTTCTAACCTTGAGTCCCTTTTGTGGTTAAATTCTTTTAGATCTACCACTTTGTTTGAAAATTACCCCTTAAAAGAAACCAACTTTTAAAAGAAGAAGCAATTTATGTTGTGTTCCCTTATTATGTGTTAAGTGTGTACTTTCTTTTCGCAGGTTGTGGTACCTTAAGGAGGCGGTTGAGGGGTCTCTTGAACGGGAAATTAACACTGTAGCACAACCAAGTTCATGTTTTTTCCCAAATTGATTATCAAAGTTTTTTTTTTTGCACAATTAGTCATTAAACTTCCAATTCACTTGTTAAATAGGTATTCAACCTAAAAAACTATCGGTTTCCTAGTTAGTTTGGCTTATATGACATAAATGAGGTGGACATATAACTTTCACATACTCCCTATTTATTATGTAACCCTATTGGTCTAACTACCATACCAACCACATTTTTCTTTTTGAGAAAAAAGGGTTGGAGACCGGCTGACCACCATGGCGACCGACACCGGAGACGGAAGCATTGGCAGCGATCTTGGTCACCGGAGCACAACCCTGGCCAAGGAAGTCATGCAATTCTAGGGTTTTTCGAAGCTTGCAAATTTGGAGTCGAAGTTTGCAAATCTGTGTTTTTGTAGATTCAACTAACGCAAACGAAATTTTAAGGTTTTTCAGACATGAACGGTTTTGAAATCGAGCTTTGCAGGTTTGGAATCGATGTCTTCGGCTGATTCCAACATTAGAACTATTTGCTTACTTTTCTTATCCATTCATTATGTGCATCTACTAGTGGCATGTCATGTCACCTGTTTTACGGGCAATATCCTTCTTCCTTCTAAAAATGGCTTTTGTGATCTAGATAAATCGGAAGATTAATGACCACTACAAGAAAAGTCCTTTTTAGTGACTAATTTTTTAGTGACCACCTAAACTGGTCACTAACATCATCATTTAGTCACCATATATTAAATTTTGGTAATGCTATAAGTTTAGTGACCGGTTCTATAACTGTCGTCACTCACCGGTCACTAACCATAAAATAAAATCAGTCTTTATTTAATATCATAACTAGTTTAGTGACTAAAAATAATGGTCGCTCTATTGGATGCTTTAATGACCAAAAAAAGTGGTCACTGTATTAGAGGCTTAGTGACAAAAAATAGTGGTCATTAAATTTTTTTCCTTATTGGAACGCAACTAAATGGCATGTAGTGACCGACACAATATGGTCATTGAAATACAAACTAAAATAACAATAAGTGACCATAAAATACATATGTTTGAAGTAGATAAATTGGATCAAATAAATACATGTCATCCACAAGGGTGAAAATGTGACTTACCCTAAACTATAAGTGATAGAGTAACAAGACACGTTAGACCATTGTATGCAAACAAACCTCTTCCATCGTTTCACCACCGTTCTCCAAGCCCTAAACCTTCCCCGATCTCCAATTCAAACTCCAAATCCAATTTCTACTACTTAGGGTTTTTGTGTCAGCCGAGAGTTTCAAGGATCTGGGAAATGGCAAGTTCGATGACTACCACCGTCGATATCCAAGTCATTGAGGATGTCATCAACAAAGTCTGAGAAGAATTCGTCTCGATGTCATCGCCACTTCTTACTTGCGGTGAAAGCACAAAAATGATAACATAGCTGCCAGTTCGTCCTCCCACTGACCGGCACTGCCTCCTTCCCCATATCCTTTGGTCTCTCTCTCTCTCTCTCTCTCTCTCTCTCTCTCTCTCTCTCTATATATATATATATATATATATATATATATATATATATATATATCTTGTGATTTCATCGACCGGATTAGATTTCGAAAAAAGGTTAGATGGACAATTGAATCTATGTTATTATGAGAAGCATTAATTGACCTAATTTTATTTATTTTGTTCTTGTTATTTTCCTAATTTTGACAATTGAATCCATGTTCTTATGACCAACAAGCTTGACGTTCATAGGGAACAGTGGCTTTCTCAAGGTGTTTTATTCTTGCTTTGATTATTTAGATTGTTGATTGTTGATATTTGTTTTACAATAAATCAGTAACTACTTTTTGGTTTAGAGTTCCAAATCCATTTGAAGTTGATAATTTAACCATTCAGCTGATATCAATGCATATACATTAGCAATGTATGGAAGAATTTAATTATGTTGTTGTTATGCATAGAAAGGTACATAGCCTAACATGATATTAAGTGTAAATAATGGTAAAAACAAGCTTATTAACTGTGATTTTTATTTGTTATGGTGTTCATTTTGTTCTAATGAAGGTGAAAATGTCCTCTATCTTCTCACCTCGATTCATAGGTAATCAAAATGAAGGTGAAAGTGTCATCTACCTTGTCATCATGATTCACTAGTAATTGGAATGAAGATGTAAAAGCTTTGATCAGTGTTTACCCTTGATTTATTCCCTGGTTGTACTGTTAGTTATTTATCGAGACAACATTTATTGTGGAAATATAAAGAAACAAGATATGTCATTTCATGATTGGTTTGAAACTTGTGTCTCACTCTGTGTTGCTTGATATGATTTGCAACACACGGATCATATTCAGTGAAGCAGGCTGAGAACGTGAGTATCATGTCATTACATTGGTGGTAGATCTTGTTCATGAAGTATTTCCTTTATCATATATTTGTGCATAATTTATCCAGAATTTAAGCTAATTAACATATAAGTATATAACTATATATGCATCTTTGTACTAAAATTTCTACACTAGGTGTCTCTTCTGCTGAAGACTGTGGAGCACAGATCACAACTCTTGAAAGTGTCTTGGATTCTCTGGTAGTAATATACTAATATGTCATTTTTATATTAAGGATTTATTTTAAAGTTATTTGGAATATGAAATTTATTGATTAAAATTCGTTTTGTGAATGTTAAGGTTTACACAGTAAGGAACAGGACAGAGCTGGAGAATGTCACCCCATCTAAGGTTTCTCATTCAGAACTAAAAGCTAAACTGGAATCCTCAAGATTCAAGGTGAATATTATAAAATACGGATGTTTTTTACAATAAAAACTGAACCTTGAGAATTCAATCATTTCATTTTCTTTTGTTCCCCTGTTTTTTTTATAGTTTGAAGCGCAGCTGCTTAAGTTGCAAGTGTCACTGCAAAGTAATTACAAAGATACGGATGAAAAGTATGAGATTCTGAGAAAGAGATTGTTTAATGATTAAACTAAGATCATTTATTGTGTTGATGAGTTAGGGCTTTTTGTGTGCTTATGAGGTATGTATTTTTTTATGCAATTTAAAGAGTAAATTTCTAGTAAGGAATCTTGTTCTTATGACTTATATCATTTATGATTTGTTACCTGATAGGCTGTTAAAATTTTAATAGAGCACTCCCCAAAAGCCGTTGAAGAATGTGATTTCTTTCAGCAAATCTGCTCAAAGTGTGTTTATTTTCTTGAGGAAGCGTTGTCTATCATTGGGGAATCTTTGCCAAATGGTATATGCTATTTTTGAACCTTTTATTATTTGAATATCATCGTTCGTAGTTAATAATTTTATGAATGATTAGTTTTTAAATTCTTGTTTATTTCTTGTTTACAAGGATTAACTCTCAATTCTTTAATAAAAAAATGTATTAGTTACCCGAATGATAGGAAAAGTTGTAAGAGCTTATATAATTTTGATGAGATATAATACATTTTTTTATTAAAGAATCGAGAGTTAATCCTTGTAATAACTATTTTGGGGGTTTTACTTTCAGGGAAGTTATAAAAGTATTATGTCTCATTTTTGTAGAAAGAATTATAACAACTAAAGTCATTGACATAATCTTGAAGAGAGTTGAAGACTTTTCTCATTTGAATGTTTCATATTTGAATGGTAGTGCAACATCGGTTGATGCAATGTCTCCAAAACTGCAAAAGGAGACTCTTGATTCTTTTCGCTCTGGGAAGGTAATGTTCCAATTTCAAAAAACTGTTGTAGAATCTTCTTATAAATTTTAACACATTAATAAGGTTTACATTTGATATCCAAGTCCATGATTGCAAATGTTTACCTCTTTTGATGTCGTTTTTGAATTTTCTATCTTACTTGGTCTTTCCCCTTTTTGCAGTAAATTTGAAATTACTAGGAAACTTCTAGGGTTAAAATTGGATGGGGTGCTGGTGATTTGTGCTTCCAAGAATTCTGAATAGAGTAAGCCTTGACTTCCTTTATTCATATGAATTTTTATGGATTATTATATATGCCTGATAATGGTAAGAGAAAGCAATGTACTTCCTTCTTTTTACCAACATAGGTAATGTACTTTATTTTGTAAACCATAATAGAAACGTACATGCTTCTTTTACCAACATTATGTACTTATGTTTTTGTACAAATAACAGTAGTTAATGTGCATTTCTATAGCCATATTGTTAAAGAAATGTAAGTACATTGTTAGTACATTTCTATTAGTGGTAAAGAACTGTAAGTACTAAGTATGTTACTGTTTCTTTTCTACTTAACGTATGGACGAATATACATGGTTTGGTTGTTTATTTTTTACTTGATCTCAGCATAATGGCTTAATCAGTTAAGTAAAAAAAACTTGGCTAAAGTTGATGATGAATATTGTAAGATTTGTTCTTTTGAATATAAGGGTAAAATGGTCATTTGGTCTCATTTTAGACAGCTTATTCTGTCCAGAAAAGATATAGACTATATATGTATACAATGCTTCTTATCCAGACAGACATCGTTACCTGTTTAGTCACTTTCCAACTTCTCATTGTTAAATTTGTTGTATTTGAGTCGATTACTTTCTTTCTTTTCTAGGATTTTTAACTAATAAGAATGTTTTTCATCAAATTATTTTTGTATATATTTTTTTATTGTGATACGAGAGCATTTTCTATTGTTTTTCTCAATGCTACTATGCATTATTCTAATAAGAAATTCTTTTGTATGCTGGGACATGCCAAGAGAAGAACTTAAATAAATGGGCAACTGAAAGAATCCAGGTTTGTTTTTGAAATTTTTTTTATATATATAAATATTTAACTTGGTTTAATGAGGACAATAAAGCCTTGTTTATGTTTTTTCCCCTCCATTAAATTTTGTCAGTAGAAATGATGTGTGAAAAATATTTTGAGGAAACAAAAAGAAAATATAAATTAATGTTGAGAGCTTTGTTCCCAATTTCTCAATTAAGCTGTTCTTTCTGTGTTAAGTAAAAAAGAAACATGTACACCAATGGATAAAATGTATATATGAGTAGTTCTTTTTGACTTAATACATAAATAACAACTGTATATAGAGATTTAGGGGATTGTATCTTTCCCCGTTAAGACCTAAATTTTTACAATTTTTTCGGCATTAATAGTCAATGCAGAAGCAACTATTTCACTTATCTTTAACTTGTGTTTTCAGATAAAAAAAGGGTCCATCCGTTCATGAAGATTCTCAAAGCACCATAATTCGATGGCCAAGAAGACACATGAATATGTTTATTTTTATTTTGATGTCTTTTAATTTTAAAATATTTGTTTTGTAAAAATTTGATATCTATATGTAAGAAATAGTGACATATTTTAGATGATATGTTATTTATAA